TTTTATGTCCCCTGTCACCTTGGATGCCTGCCCAGAGTCCCAACCCTCAACTCACAGTCTTTGTGTATCCTGATGGAGAATTCCTGCCCATCCCTGGTAATGCTGCTTTTATAAACCTTCAGTATGTGCCTCAGCTACTCCCACTGTTGGTGGCTGAAGCTGCCCTGGGACCAGGGCTACAGAAAGCGGATGGTATCTGAGCCATTCCTCCAGGAGTGTGTCTGCAGCTCCCTAAGCCACATCAGAACATCTCTGCGCCACCAAGTGCTGTTGGCAAAGGAGGAGATCTGGAGGCAGCGGATGGGACAATTTCTTGGTGCCACTGAGAGAGAAAAAAGATGAGTGTAGCCAGTGCCAGTTTGTGCAGACACTATAAGGAGAAGGGGTACAAGGGGCAGTAGGTGACTGGGAAGAATTGTATGTGGGCTCTTAGTTCAGAGCAGAGGAATCTGGTGTATCTGTATGCTCCACATAGCGCTGAGGATTTTCCACTCTCCCCAAACTGTGATGCTCTCGGTCCAGACCTCTTCCTTCTCTCAGACCTGTACCCAGGAGCCTTAGTTCCACTCACCCTCAGAGCTGTTCCAAATCTGTGCGAGCTGATAGAGCAGCAGAACCAGCCAGAGTCCCATCTTGCAAGATTGGAAACTTGCTTGCTCCTCCCCTCATGGGACAAACAAGTCAGGCATCATCAGACCCTCCCCCACTCAGGGAAGCAAATACACACATCCCTATTGGCCAGTTCGCCTGCCATCTCCCCCTACCCCAAGTTTGGTGCTGCCAGGTCCAGCCGGTGAGTGGCTTGCTCTTTTGTCAGGCTGGGTCCTTCTGCAGAGAATCAAGTTCTAGATTGGAGCCTCATTTTAGTACCTTTTCCAACAGGCTTCTGTGAAATTTCTTCCATAAAGGTAAAGTTGAGCAGACAGGAAGTGAAAGTTTTGTGCTATATTTTTAAAGCGCAGCATGAATAAAATTGCATCTGTGTTACAACGCCGACCTATTAAAACTGCAAAAGAAGACCCTGGGATGTAGATCAGTGGCAAAAGTCTTGATCAGCATGGGGAGAGTTGTGGGTTCAGTGCTTAAAGGAAGTCTCAGTCTTTGCAGAGAATATATTCCAGTGGAAACAATAACGATGATTGAATTTGCTCTTATACTGTTCTATGTTACAAAATGACAAGTGCAAGTATGACAGTTATAATACACTACAAACATGAAAAGGAATTTTCTCAGGGACATCTTGGGAGGACTGCACAGAGCTGGCTAAGAGTACAACACTCACAGCCCAAGATTTTCCTACTTCAGGTTCCTCAGCTTCTTGGTACTCTGACCCCAGCCCTGCTTCTTATATTCCTGACTCTTTTTTCCGAAGTTTAAAAACACTTCATTTTGGGCCAACCAAATAGGTCAGCTGATTAAAGCACCTGCTTAGGCAGACCCAGGGGTCTGAGGTTCCATCCCTGGCCTCCGGCACCTGCCCAGCCCCTGGGAGGTGCTGAGATAGCAATTGAGACTGGGCATGGTGATGCATGCCTCTAATACCAGGGCTTGTGAAGCAGAAAACAGGGGAATCTCTAAAAGTCCATCTGTGCAGTGAAATTCTATAGATCCTGTATACCCTGTATTAAACTAAAAGTAAAAAATTAAAATTACCTCATTTTACTGTGGTTCATTTTATTGTGTTTTGCAGCTCCTGATAGAGCTGGTAGTTACACATGAGCTGGAGCTGGGAGAGAAGTAACTAAACCCAAAGGAAAGTGCACCAGGGGGTGGTCTATGCTTCCGGAGCCTGCGGTTTCACAAGCTCCTGAGAAGCACTCATCAGCCCCTTCCTGGTACCCCACTGGCTCTTTACAAAAAACTGAGAACTGT